AGCCAGCGATTCTGGGAGATGCCACTGTCCTGCATCTTCCTGTCACATCACCCAGCAGAGACCCCCTGAGAACCACAGAAAGACTTGGAAGCCATCAGGTATGGTGCTTGTCTAACCGGTTTTGCTTTGTTTTTCGAGACAAGGTCTTGCTGTGTAGTACACACTGGCCTTGAACTCGCTATGTACCCAGTTTGGGCTCAAACTCATAGCAATCCTCCTGCCTCAGCCTCTCGGGTGCAGGGATGACAGGCACGCATCACCACACTTGTTCTTTCTTTTTCTTTCTTTTTTTTTTGTAGAGTGGATTGAACCCATGGCCTTCACACTGAGCTGGCCCCAGCCTTTTTCAAAACTTTCCCCAGCTGCCCAGACTGGGCCCCTAATAGCATTCAGTCCCATTCAGACACAACCACCAACCAGGAGCCAGAGGTGAATGGTTCACCCCCGGACCCAGAAGCCCCACCCTGCTGAGGCAGGCAAGCCCCTCATACCCTAGAGAGTCTTATGTGGTCACCCAAAGGCTGCCACCAAGTCACACTACAGTCCCAGCCCCAGAGAGGCATCAAAGTCCCTGGCTGCGATGTTCGAGTTACAGCTGATGAAAGCCTCCAGGACATCAGCAGCTCCACAGTGAGCTTAAAGGTGAAGGCTTTGATATTTTCAGGGCTGATGAGGCCCTTGGCTTTCTCCACTTTGGGCTTGCAGGGAAGAGGAATCCCATTTGCAGCACACAGCAAGGACACGGCTATCCAGGGACTGCCTAGTTCCTTGGCCCATCCAGCCTCTGATTCATCCGTCCTTTCTATAAAAACCAAAATGACCTCTCCTTCCAAATAAGCTAGCTGTGGGGACAGGAAGACCCAAGGAGTGCCAGAGGGTACACAGTAAGCAACTTCACAGAGAGAAACTGCACCAGACACCACCTCCCACAGAGAGGGTAAGACACCTGGCCACGGTCACACAGCAAACCAGCGCACCAGGGCAGCACTGGGGGCCTTGGCGAAACTCCAAGTCCCCCAGGGCCTCTGCATTCCTCTTTGTAAAATGCTGTAGGTATTTTACACAATGCAATACACGTATGACAAAATTTTTTAGTGATAAACCCTCTCTTTTTTTGAGATAAGATGTCGCTATGTAGTGCTGGTGGCCTTGAACTCTCTATGTAGCCCAAGCTGACCTCAAACTCACAGCAATCCTCCTGACTCCTGGGATTACAGGCACGCACCACCACATCATGCTCAACTCTGTATTAATTTTTGAGCCAAATCATTTGAGGAAACTTCAAATCATTTTTTATTTGTACCAGAATTTGAACTCAAGACCTTGAGCTCTATGGTGCTGAGCTATACCCCCTAGTCATTCCAAACCATTGTTTAAAAATGGAAAATGTAGTCATTTTCCTCCCTGTCCCCAGCCAAAAACCCGGAGACTCCAGGAGCTCCAGGACTCTGAGAGACTAAACTTCACTCAGGAGCAGAGCCTGGAGACTCTGAGATGTGGAATTCGCACTCAGCCACACCCACCAGGTGCCTGTTGGAAGTGGGGGAGCAGCTTCACCCTGCCAGCCACGTAGGGACCCCCAGGCCGGCTTGCCAGGTTAAAGCCCTGAAGCTGTGGGTTGCCCGGGCTGTGGCAGAAGGCTTCTGGTTAAGGCCCAGGCATGTCACCAGTCTGCGCACTGCGTGCTGGTGAACACGTATGCTGGGCCCATCAGAGGCTGAGGTAGGTGGGTCTGGTTGAGTTCTAGGCCAGCCTGGGCTAACTAGTCATTCCAAGGCCAGCCTGGACTACACCATGAGACTCTGTCTCAACAAACAAACCAAACAAAAAGGTCCAGTCCCCTCTCCAGGCCTCAGTTTCTTCTACAGTTGCAATACCAGAGGATCCAAGAGCACAGATTCTATTCTTTTCCTCCCTGGTGCACTCTCACCCCTGGCATTCACACCCAGGAAGGCCTTCCTGGCAAGTGCCAAGATGCCCACCAGCTCCCTGCAGCCTCTCAGCCCAAGCCCAGCAGAGAACATAAGGCCACCCCTGGTGTCCTCACAGACTCTCATTACTGGAGCTGACTGGCCTGGCCTGCCTATGTCATGTCACTGACCCTGATCTCCAATCACTGTGCCCAGTAGAAGCATGCCCTTTTCTGATTGGCCAGGTCTGAGTCCCAGAGGCTTCACCTCTGAAGCCTAGAATGATATAATCCACTCTACCTACAAAACTGTATTATCCTGCCGGGATGATCAAGAAATCTTCCTTAAGAAGGCAAAGTGGGTACTGGGCAACCCGCAAATAGCCACAACAGGGTGCTCAAGGTTTGCAGGCCCTGACATCTTTAAGTAGTCAACACTTGGGGACCAAGAAGGCTCAAGTGGCTCTGACTCCAGGAAGTGGGGCCAGCACCCCTTTCCTTGGCCTATGCTATGCCCTTGCCCACCAAGAGTAAAGGCCCACTGGTCTCCTCCACCTGTGCTCCTGCCCAGGGCAGATAAATTCACTGTTAGATGAAAAGATGGATGCATGGGTGGCAAGAGAGGATGGATGGATGGGTGAGTGGGCGGATGGGTGGATGAATGGATGGGGGGTGGAGGGATGGGTTGGACATTGAGCAGTAAATGGGTAGAAGGAAGGATGGATGGATGAGTGGATGAGTGGGCAAGTAGGTGGAAGAATGTATGATGGAAATATGGATGGATAGATGAGTGGATGGTGGGTAAATAGGCAGGTAAATGGATGGACAAATAGACAGATGGAGGGGTGAATCAATGAGCAACTGAGTGGGAAAATGGATGGATGGATGGATGGATGGATGGATGGATGGATGGATAGGTGGTAGGAGAATGGATGAGTGGATGGGGTGGATGGGTGAGCGGTGAGTGGGTGAGAGGAGGACTGGACACTCTGACAAGGGGGTGAATAAGTAGGTGAGCCCACAGCTTGGTCGAGGGAAGATGGATGGGAATCAACCTTCCAGATCACGTCTTTCCTACTCCCCTGGACCGGGAACTCACTTATTTAAGCTTCCAGCCCAGGTCCCACTGCCCCTGGCTCTGACCTTGTGAAGCAGCAGGAAGGCAGAGGCCAGGACCCAGAAGGTTTCTGTCTGTGCCGAGTGGCCCAGCTCCTGCCACTGCTCTTCATTAAGTGAGGTCTCCAGGACTGGCTGCCCTCTCATACTCCCCGCCCATTCTCTCCTGATCTCAAGGGTTCTCCTTGCCACATTTAAGAGCTCAGAAGGGTTCAGGGTGGAGCAGCAGTCATCTCCCTCTTTATAAGACCTATGCCTTGGGTAGTGTGACCTAGGGGCATATTGCTTCTGTATACCACGCAGGGTCTACATAATTCACTACTATGAACAGCCCTACCCCGGGCTTCCTTTGACAGCCATGTGCAGCTTGCTTTTTGGAGCACAGTGCTGGAGCCAATGTTTACTCCTAGTCAGACTCACTCAAGGGATTCCTGCCAGCGGGGCAAGGTCACTGTGAGACCTGGGGTCTGAGCAGCCACACGGGTAGCTTGGCGGGTGAGCGGGTGCTCTATGCCCAGGTTCCCGTACACAGGACAATGGAGTCCAGAGGCTGGACAGGGCTTCATTCTTCAGAAAAAGGCCATGGCACAGGGAAGGGCTCCCAGGTGGAGGAGTTGCAGGTACCAAGACCCTGGGGCAAGTGTGTGCATGGAGGTGGCAGGTGGGGCCCCAGTGTGGCCTGGAGGAGTCAGATTGCAGGAGGGAAGGTGACAGGAGCTCTGGCCCCAGGAAGGAAGCCTGCACCATGCACCCATCAGATCTTCGAAGGCAGCGTGCCTTGGGCCCCCTCTAATCCGGAGACCCTGGGGGCAGGAAGGGGTACCGAGGGGCTCAGTGAAATGCGGGCACACACAGCGGTGAAACCCAGCAACTCGGCGTGGCCCTGAGCGAGGGGTCCCCACTGATGCCCTGTGGGGGGTCCCAGGGTGTCATGTCACGTGGATGCAGGAGATGATGCTTCCCAGCAACAGGGACTGACGTCACCATTCACTGTCCTGCGGGGCAGCGCGGGCCTGGACCCCGCGGGGAGTTCCTAAGCTAAGGGGTGTTGGCCAGTGATGGGGCCGCGGCCATCGCGGCCTCGGCGACACTGAAGCAGCGCCCAGGGGTGGGCAGGGCCCGCGACACGACAGCTCCTGCCCAAGGTCACAGGCGCGGCAGGCAGCCACGCGGCGGGGCGGGGAGGAAGGCGAGCGCGGTTTAAGGCAGCGTCCTCGCCCGCGATCACGTCATCCCGGGACACCGCCGCCGTCCCGGTCCCGGTCCCGTCCGTCCGTCCTTCATGACCTCATCTCTTGGCTGAGCCCCAGCGCGGCGCCTGGGCCGGATCGATGCGGCTTGGCAGCGCCCACGCCCTGCCTGCCTCCCTCCCCGGGCACAGCGAGGCTGTGGGGGGCCTGCGCGTGATCCCCACGCCCGCCCGCTCCACCTCCTGCAGCCCGGGTCCTGCTCCAGCCCGATCTCTTCGGGTCCATCCCAGGGCGTCCATCCCGGACCCACTTGGAGGGGTAGCACGGGACAAATGAGGGCTCGGTGTCTGCAGGGCCCTGGCAGCACCCCAGCCTGCAGCCACAGGTGGAGGGGGGCACCCTCACCCCTTAGCAGACCGGCTGTCCGTCTGTCCTTCAGTGGCTGGGAGAGCGAGTGAGGCGAAACCCAGCACTTAGGATTCAAGGTCCCTGGGGCATTCTGGGAGACTGAGGCACAAGGACCCCAAATCCTAATCCTGCCAGGAAAATGTAGTGAAACTCTGTCTCGAAATTAAGAATAAAAATGGCTAGGGATGTAGCTCAGCACAAAATCCCTAGATTCAAGCCCCAGGATCAAAAATAAATAGGGAAGTGCAGTGTCCAGGCTGGGACTCGCTCAGAGAACACTACCCCCAGCCTCACCCCATTCCAGGTGGGAGAGCAGATCCGCAAGGCCAAGAGAATTGCAGCAGTTCGGGAACAAAGTCACCGGGGCCTCAGGCTGGTGGTGGTGGACTGCAGTGCTTATTTTTATTTTTGTAATATTTTGAAGGTAGTAAAATACAACAGAACAAGACAGAACAAAGCCAATGGAGACAATGCAGTGAAATTGGTACAGAAGTTCTCATCAGGTTACCAGGATAACAGTAACAGTTACCACAGTATATCTCGTTATCTTCACAATAGTTGTCCATTCAATCAGGTATAGCAAAATCAAACCAAATACAGAAATTATAAAACCCATCAAAACAGAATATTGAATAGAGCAATATAATTAATCAGAACAAAGCAAAACAGTAATAATAGTATTTGCCTTCAAAGAGATGATAGAAGGAAATCCCCTTCTGTGGTCGTCCTCCCAAGAGATGCCCAGACCTCTGACTCCCAGTTGCTAATGGGGGAGGAGGGGGGTGGGATGTCTGATTCTCAGCAGTGTGCCAGAAGGCTCATGGCTGCTTACCAGGGAGACAAGCGGGTTTCTTTGTTGCCCAGCGCCCTAGGTTCATATCACAGTGATATATGTGCACCCATGTTCACAGCAGCACCATTTGTGATAGCTAAATCTTGGAAACAACCTAGATGCCCATCAACCGCAGAATGGATGAAAAAATGGTATTTTTATACAATGGAATACTATTCAGCTATAAAAAGGGTGATCTTGAGGCCTTTATAGGTAAATGGAGGCAAATTGAGAATATCCTCATTAGTGAAATAAACAAGACTCACATTAGTAAATATTACATTGTCTGTCTACTGTAAAAAATAATAAAAACTGACAGAGTAACGGGATCCAAAAAGTATAATAGATATTGTAAAAGTGAAAGGGAAGGAAAGTGCTTTAAAGGATATAACGGTATGTATAGTGTGTAAGATAGATGACCATATTACTGGGTTTTTGTTAGATCATTGAACAGAAGAGTTTGCACTGTCCATGTTTGAGTGCCTAGCCACTTTCTATGCTTTGATTTTGTAACTTTAACAACTATTGTTAAGATGACAATATGTAATGTATCAGCCAGCGATTTTATGATGTTAATTTTTTTGAATTCTGTATTCTACTTTTTTCCTCATTTTTTCTATTTTGTTTTTTTAAATTTTCTTTCTTTAAATAAAATAAAATTTTTAAAAATTTCTGTGCTAAATTAGTTAAAACCCAAGCTTTAGACAGAACCCCAGTGGGCTGAGGTGAGGACTCCAGAGAGACTGTGGCACTGCCCTCCCTGCTGGGCTGCATCTGGGCGGCAGTGGGCACTGTGGTGGCTTGGCCTCCCCCATGACATCATGGGTGACACGCTGGCTGGGAGGACCTGACGCCTCCAGCTCAGGGCTAATGCCTGACTCACTCAGACTGATCTCGACACTGCCTCCTCACCTCAAAGATGGGACCCATAAATCAGGATGGGGTCAATTTCAGCATAACATCTTCTTGTACCAGGAACCGGCACAGAAAATGGCCTGAATCACTGCAAAACCTAGAACTGCAGCTGACTGTCCTGGAAATCCTCTGAGTGAAGGTGGAGCCACTGCAGCCACTTTGCCATCTTGAGGGAGCTGAAACTCCAGAAGCCAAGAGAAGGAGAATCACCCAGGAGGAGTCTTGGGCCAGAGCTGTGGCAGCGGAGAAGGCATAGATAGCCAGGAGGAGGAACACCTGGGAGAGAAACGGAGGGTGAGCGGAGGTTGCACCTAGAGCTCCATGGTCCCCACCGCCATCTCCCACGATATGCGTCACCTCCTCTGCCACTGCTGCCTGGGCCTATGATGCTGCCTCCACAGAGTACACAGCACATGCTGAGTCCCGGCCTAGAGCCCTGCATGAGGAAGCCAGTTTGAATCTGGTCCCTTCCTCTACCACTCTTGTACCTGGGGAGCGACTCTTTGATTAAGCTCGAGGTAATGGATCACGAGCAAACACAACCCGCAGCAGCGTCCAATAACCTTCCTGGAAAGACACTGGAAACCCAGCCTTTGCTCCTTTTTCTTCTTCCCACCTTTCTCCAACCTGCTGCTCAGAACTCAGAAGTGACTGGAACTCCAGCGAGCCACCTCGGACCACAGAACCAGGAATCTAGGTTTGGTAGAACCAGGAGCCGCAGGAGGCCGGCCCCACTGTCAGACACGCACCTCTTCATGTGAGGAGATGTGACACCTTCTCCCGGATAACCCATTACTATTGGGCTTTCCTCTACTGTTCAACCCGCCTGCTGCATCCAGGGGGCACAAAAGGCCCGCGGTGGGCACCCATCTGTTCAAAGCCAGACAATGCCTCAGGACACCTGCTCCATCCTCTCCTGATGAGTCACAAGTCCTCTTGCCCTCGGGGTACTGTGGCCACACCCTGCCTCTTTTCCACCGTGATGGGCACTGGGACACCTAGCTGTGCAGGACTCCAGTGTGGCCCTGGCAGGGGCACTCCCTTCTTTGGGCCCATGTACTCTGTTGGTGTGACCTCCCCCTCCAATCTCAGGGCCAAAGGTCCTCCGAGGTCTCCCAGTGCAGCCCTGTCCCTGTCCCAAGTGCTGCTTCCATACTACACGTGGTGGGGAGGTCGCTCCCTGCTCTGCAGTCAGTCCAGTGCCACTGAGCTCAAACTGGGAATCAGGACCACCCACAGAGTAGACACCAGCCCTGCCCCTATGCTAAGTAGGGACAGGGGATAGAGACCAGGACCCAGAAGGCGGCCTCTCCCCACCACTCCCCTGCCACCTGGTCACTCTGAATCCTCACACTGGGGAGAAATACAAATACCCCGCATCCCCTCCAGCTCAGCAGGGTGGGGGTTTGCTATGAAAGCACAAGGCAGAGGAGGGGACCAGGCTGGGCTGCAACCTGCACCCCACCTGACTCGGCTTCTGAGTGTACAGCACCACATCCAGCAATCAGCTCTGCTTTACAGGTAGGGAAACGAGGTGGAAGGCAAGCTTCCTAGGGTGGCCCAGCTCACAAGTCCTACATGTGTCCCTGGGGACAATGCCCTGTCCCCCATCTCATCCCTCAGGATAAATCTCCAAACTTGCAGAAGTGAGGCAGAAGCCCAAGCGAGCTGTGCTGGCCCTGTGCATGCCTTGAGTATTTAAATTCTTTTTCATAATTATCTCAAATAGTAATTATGGCTGAGGTACATGCGCTTAGCTTGGACAAGAAACCACCTGCCTCCCATTTTTTGTCAAAAGTGGAAATGCTGACATTATTTCTGCAGTGCTCTTCTGGGCTGCTTTCACTGTCAATGCTATCTTAACCACAAGAGAACCCCCGGGTAATGCTGCTGGGTGACTCAGTCCAGGAGAGCTGCTGGGACAGGGCCGAGAGGGGACACAGAGAAGAGAGAAGCCAAGGTCCTGAGCCCAAAGCAGCTCTTGCCCCCGAAAACCTCACAATTGGCCACCAGGTTCTGGTGAATGTGGCCCCCAAGATATGCAGGCGTTTGTCCAGCATGACCAAGGACACAGAGGTGCCACCCTGGAAGGGGAGGCTGTGGCATAGCCACAACCAGACGCAGGTGTCCCCAGCTCCAGGTCTGTGTCTGCCGTGGGTGGCCTTGTCCACACTTCTGGGCTGGATGTCCCCATGTGACACAGGAGCTGGTTGAGTCTCAGGGCACACAGCTGCTGGCTCCCAGTGGGCACTGCCCAAGCAAAGCTCATTTGAGCAGCAGATCTCTCCTGGTCCGAGGCCCTCAAGTCACAATCGCCAATGTCCTTATTGATTATCATCAGCTGCCTACAGGAAACAGGCATGATGCCAGATATCTGGCATGCATTCTGTCACCTGTCTTGCACCAGGCTGCCACACCGCCCATCTCTTATCGCTCCCGGGGCACAGGTGGGGACACTGGGACTCAGAAACCAACATGGTGCCTCCACAGACACCCAGCATTGCAAGCCGCAAAGTCCCTGAGCACCAACAACGTGTCCCCTCTAGATCAAACGTTCTCACTTCTGAGATGCAACACCCAGGGGCAGAGGCACCTCGAACGGAGTAGTGTGGCCTGCTCCCTCTGGGTGGCAGGGAAGAGGAGTACGACCGACCGGACAGTGACACAGAGACGACGGAGAGGCCCTGTCTGTAGAACTCAACTCGGTCCTAGCTGCGTCCTCTGCTGCCCCCGTGTGGCCAGAGAGATGAGCGCAGCTATTCGGAGCGTCGCGGACCGGGGAGACAGCGCTGGGCCTAAGGAAAGGTCCCCAGATGCAGGTGCAGGTACATCCCTGAGGAGCCTCGCCACCCAGGTCCCCTTGTACAGACAGCGGTGCACACACATTGAGCACCCGAGTATGGCACGCTCGCCCCCGAGCATGGCACTCTCGCCCCCGAGCATGGTCCCAGGTGCATGAAATGGGTCCGTGGCTCCTTTTTGCAGCAAGGGACCCGGGCCAGAGCGGCCGGCCGCTTGTCCCCAAGGTCACGGTGCTGACCTGGCGCAGCGTGGCCAGTGAGCCTGGAGCCACTGCTCCAGGACAGAGAGTGCTGTGGTCCCAGCTGTTCCCTGCCACAGTCACCCGGAGGGAAGCGACACTGCGTCCTCTGCCCAGGGGTCCTACGCCTGCGACAGCGCCACCCACTCCACGACGGACGCTCGCGGCTGTCCTGGTCCCCGCCCCGGGAAGCTGGTACTGTCAGCAGCCTCGGTTCCAGGGGAGGAAACCAAGGCATGGGACGGAAAAAGACCGCCGGGGTCCCCCCGCCGAGAGCTGCTGCGGTACCGTGAGGCCCACGGGTGGCGGGGCCTGGCTCCGGACTGAACTCGGGGACCGCCGAGGGAGGGAGCTCTCCGGAGCTGCCCGCGGACGTGCAGTGCCAGGGGGAGGGAGTGGCCCTGGCTTCCCTGCTCAGAGGACGTGGGCTCGGGCGCCCCCTGGCGGTGGCCTTGGGCGGGCACAAGGGAAAAAGCCGCGGCAGGACGCTCGGATTGGAGACCCACACTGGGGACCCGGGCGCAATACCTGCAGTCCCCAGGTCACCTGCATCTCCAGTGGGGGCACCAGGGTCTGCGCCCTGACCACACCCCTCCTCAGGGTCTTCCTCCTGTGTCCCCCAAACTGGAGTTGCCGACGACTCCAGAGTAGAGCCCCAGGTCTCTGCCAGCAGGGATCAGAGGCATTGCGCACTCTGCCATTCCCATGGCAACAAGGCCACCTGGACAACCCCAAGGCTGAGCTTTCCGCATCTACACTGCTCAGCTGGAGCCAGCCGTAGGGTACAGAAACGGATATGAAAGCCTCTCCCCTCCCCAAACCCCTTCCAGAACGCTCAGGTTTATTCCCCATCCGAGCACACAGGGACACCACAGCACCTGGTTCCCAGGGACCCAGACTCTCATGATCCCCTCAGGTGCGAAATAGTATTAGCACATGGGCGCGCCTGCAGGCCAACTGTGTAAGGGATATAGGGCCATAGGCAGGGAGGTCAGGGATAGAGTGATCGGGGACACCTCCTTCTGAGCAGCTGAGGACCAGCCAATTCCGAGCAGTGGAAGATCAGATGCAAAGGCCCCGGGGCCAAAGGGCTGTGAGCACTGCAGGGGTACAGGGCAGGGAGGAGGCCTTGGCAATGACCAGACTGGAGGCAAGAGAGGCAGGCAATGGTGGGACCCAGAGTATCCAGAGGTCCTGCACAGTGCTGACTCATGGCTGGGTGTGAGGGTCAGAGGAGGAGCAGAGAGGGGAAAGGTCAGGTTCCAGAACATTCCGAGGTTTGGTGATGCAGGAATGCGAGTGATCTGGTCTGGGGTGGGTGTGAGAGAACAAAGGCAGGGAAGGGTTCAGAAATGTTCTGGGGTCCAGTAGGCAGGGCTGTCCATTTGGGTAAGGAGGAGAGAGAAGAAAAGTTAGCTGCCACTTGATCAATAGTGTCACCTCTCCTGGCCCTGGAGGCCACCTCCACCTTGGCATTCGCTCCCTAGGACTCCTGTTTTTCATTGTTGCTTTGACTTTTTGAGACAGGGTCTCACTGCAGCCTAGGCTGGTCTCAGACTCCTAATGTTACTCCCGCATCGGCCTCCTGAGTGCTTAGATCACAGGCTTGGGACGCTTCCTCTCTAGCCCTCCAGCCTGGGCAAAGGCTGTGCGGGTCAAAGAGGGGGCACCCAGGGAGAAAAGGGGGCAGGGGAAGTATCATATGGGCTTCCGCCCATGGTACACACCATTCAAAATGATGCCATCCACAGGGGAAAGTAAGGCTGGGCTGGCCACTGTCTTTCCTTCGTGGAGTTGGTGGCCCTACCCTGGGGACTTCGGCTCCTGCCATCGGGAGAGGGTGGGCTTGTGGCCAGGTCTGGGGGACACGGGCATAAATCCTGGCTCCTCTGTCCTCACCCTTTCTGGTACTTCTCACACGGTCAGAACTGGGGTGGGGAAAGGACAGGCGCAGAAACCTTGGGCCCTGCCATGTCAGTGTGGCCTTGAGCTTCCGATCTGATAAATGGGCAGACAGGATAAAGCCTGTCCCTGTGCCAACCTTGGACACAGCCAACGGCGGGCCCCTCCAACCGCTGCCACCGCAGACCTTCAGCTGCCCCCTCCCCCGCCGCCACCCAGCTCTGCCCAGCACGGACCTTCGAACGAACAGTCACTACCACCTGAACAGCTTCCAATGCCCCAGCAAGGTGGTCTTTATCCACTCCACAGGATGAGTATCAGTGCCTCCTGTGGGCTTTCCCTGGTGCTAGGTGCTGGGGACTCTGAGAGGTTTTTCTGCACTTTCCCTGGAAGGGATACACTGGAGGGAAGTAGTTGGGTGAACCAGGCAGACCAATCCTGACTGCTTGTCACCCTGGGAATGCCCAGCTCGGGGACAGCTCCATGGCGGCCCCTCTTTCATAGAGATGTACACAGAGCCACGGCTACCCGTGCCCTTGGCCTGAGGCAAAGGGCAGCCCTCGCTGGGTCATCAGCAGAGCTTTTTCGTGTCCAGGGCTACCTACAAGGCGTCGTCGCCTCCTGCTGCGTACGCGCGTGCCCGCTTCTGTGTCTGCGTTTGCGTGCACGCGCGGGCCGGGCCAGCCGCAGACAACTCGGGTATGTCTGCCAGTTCTTCCAGACAGACCCAATTCTGTGAAATGAGAGTCATCAAAACACCAAAAAGGGCCTATGCGGGGCAGCAGCGGGCCTTCTGTTCTCCCATTGCTCTTGGCGATGGAATCAGGGGCCCTCACAAACCAAAAATGTCGCTCGGGCTCGCTGCGCCCACATCGACCCCACTTGAGTTCCTTTCTCCACTGGGATCCAGCGAGTGGCAGCCCCGGCCCGCCTTGCGCCTGCGCAGCCGCTAGCAATGCTACATGCTGCCGCCAGGTGTCGCTGCGCACGCACGGGGCTGGGGGCAACCTTCAAACCAGAACCCGGAGTTCAACTGTGCTGCGCTCACTGTGCGGGATCCTGGGTGCCCCGCCGGACAGCACTCCTCTTGCCCGTCACTTTACTTTTGTTGGAATGAAGATTGAATCCACGGCCTTCGCACTGAGCTACATCCCAGCCCTTTTTATTTTGAGACGGGATCCCACTAAACTGCCTTGGTATCCCCGGCCTCTGCCTGCCACAGATGTGCACCACCACACCCGGTTTAGACTTCTAATTAAACAAAAGGTGGAGACAGTTCCTGTGGGCCTTCGTCCCACCACAGACCTCCCCCACTGGCTGCGCTCCCCGCCCTGTGCTGCCCAGCCCTACGTCCCTCCGTTCGGGCCCCGGGCAGCATTTTTCCTAGTTGCAAGCCCTGTCCGCTTGCAGCTGCCTCTGCTCTTGGGGGCCGCACAGATGTAGTCTCTGCTGTCTGGCTTCTTGCGCAAAGGAATGTGTGTTTGGAGTCCCTTCCTGTCTGGTCATGTCTGCGTGTGACACCCAAGGCCTGCTGTCCCCCAGGGGTTCATCTCCTCTCCTTCTGAAGGACAAGAGTGCCTAGCGAGCTCCAGCAGTTATGAACAAACCTACCATAAACATCTGTGCCAGGCTTCTGAGTGGACCCTGGCGCTCAGCTAATTTGGATAAATCCTCAGGGTGTGATCTCTGGGTTTTCTGTTTCTGCGAGAAATCGCCAAGCTGTCCCCCAAAGTGGCTTCTGCACCCTCCTCAGCAGTGGCAGAGAGCCCCTGTTTCACCCTCGCCATGACGTTTGGTTTTGGACATACCAGTAGATGTATAGAGCAGGCACCATGTCGGTGGGGACCCGTTTCAAGACCCCAGTGGGTCCTGAAGGTGCACATATGGAGACTATGTTTCCCATACATACCCACACTAACGTTTTATTTACAAATTAAGCGGGTGTGATGCCACAGGCCTGTAATCCCAGCACTCCAGAGGCTGAGGCACTCCAGAGGCTGCAAGCTCGAGGCCAGCCTGGACTACATGGTGAGACCCTATCTCAAAAACCAAAAATTTAATTTATAAATTGGACCCACAAAGAGATCGACAACAGCCATAACAAAACAGAAAGATCCTAACTGTACTGTAATAAGGTGCGTGTGTGGTTTCTTACTGTACTTGCACCTTTTCACCTACAGGAGGCGTTTTCTGTTTCTCTCTGAGGCTACAGAATCACTGGCATTATTATTGTTACACAGGGCATTATCAAGTACCTTAGGGGGTCACTTGAACACCAGGGCCGAGATGCTGTGACAATGGGACTGTCACAACCCAGAAAGCCCATCACCCCTACGGCCACTCAGTGCCTAGTAGCATAGGATGCGCGTGGGTCACTTCGGGACAGGCCCAGAGGGACGGCCTTTCTTCCCTGTGGGAACCTAGGAGTTACTTAGTCTGGGATTTCCCATTTAATATTCATGGGCAGCAGCTGACCGCAAATCACCAAAACTGTGGCGCGCGAAGCGTGGGCTAAGGGGTTCACTGTGGCGGTGTCTGGTTGTTCTTGGCTGGGCGACTCCTTGTGACTGCTGTGGGTCGGCCGGGGCGAAGCGTCTCTCCTGTTCTCCAGCCCCTTCTGTCCGTGACCGCCCTTGGCGCTCCGTGGTAGCCTCAGCTGTGGCAGGTGGGCCAGGGTGCCCGCCACTGAAATACTTTACACGTCCACCTGCCTACATCGCTGGCCCTGCAGAGCAGCAGGCAGAGTCGCTGGACAGATGCAGCCACCAGGGGGCGCCATTGCCGTGCAGATGGGTTAGACCTTGGAACTTGGAGAGAGCCAGAGAGAAAGAGGAAAGGAGACACTCTCCCTGGTTTGCAGCAAGGATGCAGGTTTATAAAATCCTAACACACGGGAAAGCTGGAGCTTCAAGGCCTGTATCCCAAGCTCAGGAACTTCCGGAGGAGCTTACATACCTTCAGTGCCAGGGAGCTCACTATCTCCTGCTGGGCCATCTCAAGTCATCTCTGCCTGTTAAAAGAGCTGCAAAGTAAGGCAGACACCACCAGGCCTTCAGAGATCACAGCACCCGCTGAGTTCAAAACGTGCGCGAGAACAACTTCACTCCGAAAACCACAAGGAGGAAGTTTAAGATTTTTAGAAAAGCGCAAAACAAATGTTATTGGGAAGTTACTCGCTGTTTACATGATAGCTCAGAACTCCCATAAAACCAGGCCTCAGCCCACAGGACAGGGCTGTGACTGAGAACTTAAGTCACCCCGCACTGTGACTCTTGGTGGGAAGTGAGGTCACCAACCCAAAGGTGCTGCCTTTCCAGGGGACACCTGATGCAATGAGCTCAGAATAGAGGTGCAGACCCCTGAGATCAGCAATGCCCTCTTGGCTGTGTATCCAAAGAAATCCTCAAACAGGTGCAATTCCCTGCAGTGGGGACCCACAGCACCCTAGGCACATCTCTGGTGCATGCCAAAGGCCCTCCACAAAGTGTAAGGGTCCCTGTGAGGGGAGAGTAGCAGCAGCAGCCTGGATCCACACATCAAAAAATTATGACACATTTAAAACTACCAGCCACCAAAGTCTTCACACATTGGAAATGTGGTGGTACTGCTTGTAATCACAGCACTCTCGAGGCTGAGGCAGGAGGACTGCAATTTCAGGACATCTATCACTAAACATTGGTTAGCAATCACAAGGGCACAGAGTAGGCAGGGAAAGAACTTTAGCGGAAAAACCATTCATTCGCACAATCACAGCCAAGCGTCAAGGTTAGTTCAGCCAATAATGACTCTTGGAGCCTAAATGACATCCGGAGAGACAAGCCAGTGCCTGAGGTCCAAATTTTAGAAAGTGGAAGGCAGAAATTTGGGACAAGCAGAAAAAGGGGTTGCAAGAACAATAAAAGTAAGATCACAAAGTGTCAGGTGACAGGGTAATTCCCAACCCCAAGACAGCCCTGGCTTGAGAGTCAGTTGTTGGTGCAGGGCATTAGGGTACATAAGTATGGCTTAGGTCTAAAATGTCCCCAAATCTTGTGTGTCCAGAGGTGGGGCTTTCAGAATATGACTGAATTTGGGCGGCACGGAGGACCCTCCTGTCAAGCTGGCAGTTCTGTCTCATTCAGACACCACGATCAAATGCCATTTGTCAGAAAGGAAGTGGACGAGGGGGCCGATTTTTTTTCCTTTATAGCCCTTTTGTACTATTTGTTTTACAGTGTACATGTGCTACTTTTATAATTAAAACAATATTATTTTAAAAACTTAAAATGATTTTTTAAAAAGAGAACTAATCACAGTGGATCGTGAAACAGAGGGTCAACTGTAGAAGTGGGTCATTCAGCTGAGTCCAGAAGCCCCAATGTGGTCGCCGCATTCCAATCCGCACTCATTGTCCGGCCTTGGTCCCCACATGCAGGGCACCACGGTGACCACAAACTTGTGAGACGGACCTCCTGCTAACAAGCTCCCACCCTCGGGGTGCAGGAGAGGCCCAAAACCAAAAGCGAGACTCAATTTACAGAGTTCAAGACTGGGCAGGGACACACAACGCACTCAAGAGCAAGCAGCCCTGGATCCTAGGGCGCAAAGGCGGTGAAGAAGATGTGCATTTTGGCCAGGAAGGTGGTGACAGAGCCCTGGCGCCACAGCTTCATCTCCACATCCAGGGCGAAGTCCCGGGGCTCCAGCACAGGCCGCTGCAGCGAGACCACTCCGGTGAAGGCGTTGAGTCGGCGTGTGCCAAAGTAACCCTCCTCGTTGCCTCGCGTGATGGTCAGCGAGATGGTGTCGCCCGTGAAGGCCGGCGCGGGGCCGATGCGGAAGATGTGCGCAGGCACCAGCAGGCCGGTCTGGAAGTTGAGCTGGTAGTAGGTGATTCGTGCAGGCGAGTTCTGGCACTCCAGCAGGTCATGGCACGTGGTGCGCTCACACTTCCTGCGGAGCGAGATGGGGCCTGATCAGTGGACAGGCTCACAGGCAGGGGCTTGGTTGGTGGATGGGATTCCTGGGGTGGGGGCTACTCAGTGGGCCGGCTCATAGGCAGGGACTTAGTTGGTGGATGGGGCTCGTGGGGCGGGGCCTAATCAATGGGCAGGCAGGCTCACAGAAGGGACCTGGTTGGTGGATGGAGCTCATGGGGCAGGGCCTAATCAATGGGTGGGCAGGCTCACGGGCAGAGACCTGGTTGGTGGATGGGGCTCGTGGGGTGGGGCCTACTCAGTGGGCAGGCTCATAGGCAGGGACTTGGTTGGTGGATGGGGCTCATGGGGCGGGGCCTTTACAGTGGGTCTTGCTCACAAGCCCAAGCTTGGTTGATGGGTAGGGTTTGTGGGGCGCGGCCTGTTCATTGGGTGGGCTCACAGGCTAAGGCCTTGTTGGTGGACTGGGCTTGTAGAGTGGGGCCAGATCAGTGGGCCAAGCTCAAGGGGCGGGGCCTGGCCGGTTGGCGGAGCTCTCAAGGCTAGACCCTGACCGCTGTGAGCAGGCTTAGGTGGTAGGGACAGATGGTGGGGCTCGTCGGGTCCCACCACCAGACCAAAGAGACACAGCCCCACCCAGCATCTTCACGTGAGACAAGGCTCCTGATAGCCTGGTGGGCCTGGGGTATGACAGTACGAGGCACAGCTTCTCCTCTTCCTTACACCTTCCCTTCTCCGGAGCCCTTTCTCCACTTTTGCCGCCCTCCCACCCATCCTCCAGCATGCTCATTCCTCTGCCCACCATACCCTCGCCTCTCCATCCCTCTGATTGTGCTTAGCTGTGTGGCTGGCAGCAAAAGCCATCTTCAGTCACCTCCAAGGTTAGCTTAGGTAAAAGGACTGTCACTCAATCTTCAGCCAGCCTACCTACTACACTAGGGGTTGTCAGGTCACAAGCAGGCCCTTGGAAAGGCCTGGAGTCATGTGAGTGAGTGACTCCTGAGGGACGACATGGCAGCCCTGGGATATGCCAGTGACACTGCTGTCAGGGTCCCCAACCTCAGAAACAGGGTGAGCTAATAAGTGTTCGCTATATGACGGTGCTAAGTGGTGGGAGAAATGTTACACAGCAGTAGGTGACTAATACACTATCTGCATGTGTGCATAGGAACATGAGCAGAAAGTGGTCAAGGCAGGCTCCTGTCATTTGGTTGGGGCAGCATAGACACAGTGTAGGGTCCCAGGGTTCCCGCCTGGGGTTGGAGGCACTCACATTTCAGACACCCGAACGTAGTTGGGAGGGCACTCGAAGCGCAGGCAGCGGAAACTTCCCTGAAGGTTGTGGCAGGTCTCAGCCTCTGAGCAGTTGTGTGTGCCCAGTGCACACTCATCCAGGTCTGGAGAGCAGAGGAGGGATGAGGAGGGGAACCCTGAGGCCAGGACACCCCAGCCCTACAGCTCATCCTGGCTTTGGGAACACAGCTGCTTTGCCAGTCTGTACCATATTGTCATGTCACCTTCTGTCCAGAGGTCCCCCCAAAGCCTCATGCGCTCACAGGGGGCTTCTCAGAGGCGACTGGATCTAGAGTGTGTGATGCTGGGATCAAGGATGCGATGCTAGGTTTAAGGGTATGGTGATTACTGCACCCACATCCATCCTAACTGAGTAGCCTAGATAAAATATGAAAGGAGCAGAATGAAGCTGATATGGTCACTTGTGGCATCTATCAGATGCTGGACTGACTCCTAACAGCAACCTCGCAATGACGACCCCACCAACCATGCAGAGGGGACCACTGCCATCACCTGCCATCCTCAGGATGCCATGGATGCGTCCTAAGTCACATGGGTGCATTAGGACAAGACCTGCCCTCACCCCACTTCCTCCAGTCCAACCCAGAATGTGGGCTGTGGACCCCCAAGTCCCTCTTCAGGGCCCAGCCAGGATTTGCTCCCTCTCCAGGCCTCAATTTTCTCCATTGTAAGAAGTCATCTTCTCTACTCCCTAGGACAGCTGGGTGGGTGGCAGGGCATGGCTGGAGGCCATGGCGGGACACATCCCAGGCTGAGGGAGATGACTTCCTACAGATCTGCCACTGACTCCTCAATATGAGAGGGGCCCTGCCTGCTCCCTAGCTTGTGTCCTCGGTCACCCACCATCATGGCACTGGCCTGAGAATGGGCAGGCAGGACTGTGGGGAGCCAGCTCCTTGTGAAGGGCAGTGGAAATCATGGGACTTTCCTGCCACCCCGGGGCCTGTTTACAGGGGCCATCAGGCTCCTGTGACAAGGAGCTCTTGGCCCTGCAGACTCCCTGGAGAGCCCAGGTCAGGCAAGTGAGGGCAGGACGCTGCCCCGTACCAGGGGGTTACTGCAGGCGAACAAAGAACACAGGGGCAGAGGGACACGATAGGCTGCTCTAACCCTAACCCAAGCCCTAACCTGAGAAAACACTCTATTTTCAGCAACACTTCGGCTAATATAAATACACAGCGCCACCCCTGGGTATCTGCCACAGCTGGTTCCAGGGCTCCCGGAAGATTCAGGCATGTGCAGATGCACAAGCCCCTCACATAAAGTGACAGCGTCCGTGCATCCTCTGCTCACCCAGCCATCCACTCTAAGGCGTCTCTAGAGGATGTCTGTGCTTCATACTACATAAACGCCCTGTCAGTAGCTATTACACTGTGTGGCTTGGAGCCTGGACATCCAAACTTGTGGCTGGCCCGGGCCACGCAGAGTGAAGGAGAATTGTCTGAGGCCACATAGCAAATATAGAAAAGAGTTAACATTTATAAGTAACAAAGCTTCCATTATCTTATAAAACCACACAGCAAGCCCAAGTGTAATAATTAGGAAAACTTGCATGTCTGCTTAATCACAATAAACACCTCTCCTCACAGGCACACACACGTGTGAGCTGAGATACTGTCACCGTCATCACTGCATTTCACTTGCAAAGCCACATGCACATGTGTGCCATCTGACACACCCCAGATCCCACTGGACTGCGTGTGGCAGGTACAGGAGGCCGAGTCACCACAGCTCTGGGTCCTTCACTGTGCAGTGGTCACCTGTGTAGTCTGCCCGTGAGCACCACATGAAGGAATCATACAATCATCCAATTAGCTGGGCAGTGGTACACGCCTGTAGTTGTAGCACTCTTGGAGGCTGAAGCAGGAGGACTACAAGGCTGAGCCTCCCCTGGAAACTTAAGTAACTTAGCAAGACCCCATCTCAAAAATGGAAAAAATGCTTTAAAAGGACTCAGTGTGAAGGACTTGGGTTCAATGCCCAGCACTACCACCAAAAATGAAGAAAGAAAAGAAAGAAAACAACAAAAAAATCACAGAAAAATGTTAAAAGCTTACCACTACATGGGGCTACATTACTAATTGTCCCAGGCCCTCAGAGCCTGTGGGCCACAGGCTGGACACAGCTGGTTTAGAAATAACTTTTTTTAAAAAATCCCATATACGTGCAGTGGAGATGCAATTTTTATATTTATGATTTTTCTCAACTCATGGTTGAATCTGCAAATGTAAGATCTAAAGACACACAGAGCCAGTGGTGTGTGTGTGTGTGTGTGTGTGTGTGTGTGTGTGTGTGTGTGTAGGGACATTTAGCAGCAAGTCCTCTCCATTCATTCAGCACCATGGCCCAGTGCCCTGAGCTGGACGGGACTGTCTGAGCCAGACCAACCCTGTCCTCACGGGGTTCATATTCCAGAGGATGTGGCTGAGGCCAAGCATCCTCCTCTTTTTCAGTCCTGTTTGTGACTCCTGAAGATGGGGTGCTCGTGAGGTCTCAATCAGCACACAGCTGACCTATGGCCAGCCTCCTGTCCTTCTTCCCATGAGCTGACACCTCAGAGTTTGGTCTGGGTCTGCCCAGAACCAGAGCACACAAGGCACAGATGCTCAGCTTCGAAGGTCTGCAGACCTGGAACAACTCAGGACACAGTCCAGGAGTTGGGATACGCAAGGCCAAATTGGAGTGGGGTGTGCTGGGCCTTGGAAGACCCCTATCCCTCTATGATCAGCACAGAGACACAAGGATACCTGGGGTTCTCAACCCTCGGTGCTTTGTGCATGAGGCGATGGGCTGGGGACAGCTTGTCCTGAACACAGATGGGTTTCCAACCTATTCTCCTGGAAGTGGTCACACGTCATTCTGTTATGGAGCACACGAGTGCTGCTGTCACATCAGAAATCACATTCTAGGAATATAAGTCATAATTTCTGACCCACTGAGCTTCCCCTGAGCGTACAGATCATACAGCAGAGGCTTCGAAGCCAAAAAGCCCAAGCTGAAAGGTAGAGGCTGTGAACTGCCATTCACATGAGTATGCCTAGGGCTCAGGACTTAGTTTATTCCTTTGCTCCACACCTGCCTCCTTGAGGACTGGAGTCCTCACTGAGGACTCCCTGAAGACCTACAGAGCCAGGGCTCATCGGTGGGCACCATGCCACACGCTTCCGTGTCCCACCCTGCATTCTATTTGATGACACCCAACTTGATCTCAGGGTCCTTGGTAGGGACCACAAGTCTGCAAGACACTGTCTCACTCCATATCCTTCTGGGTACTACTCTGTCCCCTACTCCAGCCCACGGGCCTCCAGGCTCTCAGTGCCACTGTCTGGGGTGACACAGCCCCAAACTTGTCGGGGGGGGGCAGGTTCTCGAACACCAGGAGGTTCAGCATCAGTTCTCTGAAGCAAAGCCAGTGCCTTCCCTGCATCCTGCCCCTCCACTTAGCCCTGCTGGCTTGCCAGGCTCTGAGTTTGGTGGCCAATGGCTACAAATATAGATGTGACTCTCTTCAATTGACACAGGACCTAGCCCCACCCAGTCCCCTCTACTTCAAATCAGACAGGTGACTGCCCAGCCCTTGTGACCCTCTTCCCTCCTCCCTGGGGGTCCTACCTCCCAGTCCCTCCCAGTCCCCACCCCTGGAGAGCACTGCAGAGACTCAAGAATATTGACTGAGGCCCCATATTCTCTCTTGGAAGTCTCCTGCCTCATCAGCATCCCCCACAGTACCCTGGTGCCCTCCTCCCAGGGAAGGGAGTCCAGCTCAAAGATTCTATGCGGGACTGAGCTGCCACTCCCTGTCCCCAGGCACAAAGCATTCTGTGTCCATGCACTAATGCTGCATTCCAAGCGCTCAGCAAGTTATGTGAGGTCCCACCCCAACCCAGCCCTTGTCACTGCTTACCTTTGCAGGACCTGCCATTGGCCATCATGGCATAGCCCTGCTCTGGGCATGCGCACTGGTAGCTCCCAGGTACATTGAGGCATCGGAAGGTGCAGAGCATACCAGCAGCCTGTGCACACTCATCGATGTCTGCAGAAAGAGGGTCACCATTCACCATGGGCCTCATGTACCCACATAACCCACCACAGACAGCCTGTTCCCATCACAGCCACAGAGTTAGAGAGCCACTTTACAAAGGAGGCCGTGAGGCCTTTAAAAATAAAAGTGAGATCCCTAAAGCCATGTGGCAGATTAGGGCTCCCCTTCCAGTGCTCTGTGGATTTGACTCATAACTTCTTTCTCCAGTAGGGACCAATCAGGTGCCAGGCACATCCTCCACATTCCAACATCACATCCAACCTGCCCCTGGCAGAGGAGGGGCCTACCTGTGCAGGTGTGCCCATCTTCTGCCAGCTGGTAGCCCTGACGGCAGTAGCACTGGTAGGAGCCATAGATATTGGCACACTCCTGGCTGCAGCGCTGGGTTTCACATTCATTCACATCTGCAAGGAGACCAGGCGCTGGTCACGGCAGGGGAAGCCCTCCCAGTCCATGCATGAGGCTCAGGCCCCCAGCTTACAGGGAGCCTTGTCTCAGCAGAATGTAAGTTTCAGGCAACTTTGGGGGGTGACAGACAACCAGATGACCCCCCAAAAAGGACTGGGACAAGGCAAGGGCTGAGTTGAGGCAGGGTGGGGCTAGCTGGCCCTGGGGTTGAAGTGGGGACCCCAGGTGGTATTATGGTTTAAAACTAAATTCACAGCCAAATGTGCTGTGTGGAGGCAAGGCCCATGAATTCTAGCCCTTGGGTGGTCTCTCTCTCTCTCTCTCTCTCTCTCTCTCTCTCTCTCTCTCTTCTTCCCTCTCTCCCTCTCCTTCCTGGTTGCCATGGGGTTAGCAGCTTTCCTCCTCCATGTCCTCCCCCCATGCCATTTTCTACTTTGGAGCTGACCAGCCATGAACTGAACCCACTGAAACTGTGAACCAAACAAACATTTCTTCTTTTAAATTGCAGGTATCAGGTATTTTGTCCCTGCAACAAAAGTGACTAACACAGCCAGGCTGCAACTGTGTTCTCTGAAGTTGGAATCCATCTGTAATATGTAAACACAACTCGGTTTTTATACAAATACTGAGATTCTGGCTCCTGGAAAGCCAAGAACACAAGGCTGCCCTGGACCTCCACCCTTGGTGGCATGTGTGGGTGTTCTGCTGCAACACCTACTTTCATGCCTCTCTTAATTCCCTATCTGTCCCTGCATTCTTGGCTTCAGTTCTCCTGCCTGGAGCTCCAGTCACTTGCAGTAAGTGCTCATCAAAGTCTGCCACAAGAGAAGCATGGAGAGGATAGAAGCAGGGGCGGGGCCAGAGGTGGGTGGACGTGGCCAGAGACCAAGGTTGTTAGAGGCTGCCACGATGGGAGGGGCCAGAGGTCAGGTCCAGACAATGGCTAGGTAGGCTGGGCCAGAGGTCAGCAGGACTACAGGCTGGCGTGGGCGAGATCGGAAGCAGTACCTTCGCAGTGCTTGCCGTCCTCAGCCAGCCGGAAGCCCATGGCGCAGGAGCAGCGGTAAGAGCCCAGCGTGTTCTCGCACGTGTGCTGACACAGGCGGCTCGGTGAGGTCCAGCATTCATTCACGTCTGTGAAGAGGGGTAAGGGGTGGCCTTTTGGGCACTATGTGGGCGGCGCAGGGAGGGCAGAGCTGACCAGAAGCCAGCACCCTGCCCATCTAGGTTCCCTGGCTGAGAATGACAGGGAATGAGGACGGAAGGGACAGACATCGCGGGAACCAGACAAAAGGGCAAAAGGGCACAGCGGCTCGGAGAAGCAAAGAAGACATAGGAGGGTGCCCAGCAGCAGGGAGGAGCCTGCGGGAGGCCCAAGTCTGAGACGCTCTATGCCAGATGCCCCAGCAAGGGGCGCGGACCCAACGGGGACAAGGCCCTCCACTTACCGATGCAAGAGCGGCCGAAGGCGTCCCGCTGGAAGCCAGCCTTGCAGTCACAGCGGTACGAACCGGGCAGGTTGTGGCAGACCTGGCCGCTGCCACAGCGGTGCACACCTGTGGCACACTCATTCACGTCTGCAGAAGAAGTGCCACCCTGAGCACGCGCTCACCCTGTCCCCTGACCTTTCCAGGTGGAGTTGGGGCACCCGCCTTACCCACACACTGCGTCCCGTCCTCATTGGCGTGGTACCCATGCCTGCACATCAGTGGGTCCCTCTGGCACCTGTAGGAGCCCACCGTGTTGACACAGCTGAAGCCGGAGCGGCAGGGCTCAGGTAGCGATGTGCACTCGTTGATGTCTGTAGAAGGGTCACAAGTGACCAGGAGCCTGGCATGACATCTCCAGGCCACCCTGAACAGGACTACCCCACTCCTGTGTCCCACAACCCCAGGGGTGTGCCTCCAACCCCCCACACAAGCTGCACTGGCTAAACTCTGCTCACATCTGATGGATCTGTTGGAGGCAAAGGAGAAATGAAAGCTGAGCGTGGGTAACTATAGCTGCTCTTCCCCAAAAGCGCCACCCTACATAGTGAGTGGGACCCTGCCAACCAGCCCCTCCCCACTTGCCCTTACACACCACCCAACACCCCAGGGTCTTTGCACTTGCTGCCCAGCTTCCTTGGCACACATTTCTTCAGCTCTCTGCCCCAGTGTCACCTGCTCTGGGAGGCCCCAGGAGCCATATGAGTAGAAAAACTCTCCTTTATACTTTTATCCCCTACTTTTTTTCTTACGTACCAAAGGGCCTGTGAATTATTGGTACTTTTATAAACTTGGTTGCGTGCTTCTCTCTAAACTTCCTTGTCAGGCTGCTGCAGCTCCACTATAATATCTAGAACCCTGGCATAAAAAGTTACCCCATAACAGAATCACTGCAGGACTGTCCAATCAGGCAGACCCCTCCCCACCTTTCCCTGACCCCTACTAGAAAGGGTCCTACAGCAAACCACAGAGACCCTGAAGGTCTCGAGGGGTCCCCTGCACTGTGTGACACACTGGTAAGGTCACTGAACAAGGAGACATTAAAGGCAGTGTCTTGGGGATGGCTCCCAAGACTAGCCAGCAGAACCCCTGGAAGCTTGAGGAGGCCTTTGAATCCCAGCCTCCTCCCTGAGGTTGGAAGGGCAGGCAAGAGCTCCGTGCCCTAGGTCACCCCTGATCCTGTCTGCCCCTGCTCTCCCCATTGTCTCTCTGCACTGTTCACCCCTGTGGCAGGGGTGGCCATGACCTCCCAGGTAGGCCCTCCTGGCCAATGAAGAACAAGGACACCAGAATCTCAGGCCTTTTGGACGCAAGAAGGCCAGCATCTGTCCAACTGCAGGCCTCAAGCCATGAATGCAGCATGGAATCACTGCAAGGCTCACTAGCATTCTTTAAAAATGAAGGTTTCAGTAAGCATGTGAGTTACTGTTTTGTGAACTTAGTATGACAGCTGTCCATGGATGTGTGCGTATAGTCTTGTTGGCCAGGTTGCATTCTGCCAGGCCAGTCAGCTAAGATGGTAAACTAAGGACACAAACTAAGTCAAGGTGAGACACTTCAGGTTAAGAAAGTAGGTACCGTTCTGCAGGGTCTCTTGGGGCTGGCACTAGGCACACAGCTGGACAGACAAGAGCAGCCAGCCCGCCAGGCCTGCCTGGGCTTAGGGGCCCTTAGGAGCCCCAGCACTCCCACAGCTGACTCACCCACACAGTTTCCCTCAGGGTCCTGCAGGAAGCCCTCCATGCAGCGTTGCCGGGCCTGACAGTAGAAGGAGCCCTTGGTGTTCTGGCATGAGGAGCCAGGCTGGCAAGTGTGCGAGCCCACGGCACACTCGTCCACATCTGCACACAAAGGCTGGGTGTAAGAGGTAGGCAAGCCCCAGCCCTCATTTCCCTGTCCTCAGGACACCATGACCTTGACAGTCACAAAGTTCTTCTGCATTTCCAGAAGCTCAGAGTACCATGTCACCAGCACAGCCCAGGTCCCAGGAGTTACCATGACATAGCCACACGGACTGAGCTCTCCTGTGGTCTGAGAGCTGCCAGATGCACTGATTTACTTCACCCTCACAACCATCCTAGAGCATAGATGCTACACCAGCCCCAGATCATGCAGGGTAAACTAAGGCACAAGGCACTGGGCTAGGAGCAGAGCTCAGGCAGTCAGGCCCCCAGGATCTGTACTTATAACAGCTCACTGTCTCGAATTTGTGAGGACAGAGGGAGGTAGGAATGAGTGGTTATGTCCCTAAGGGAAGGTTACCTGGTGACACTTATGAGGAGGTGGCATAGGTAGTACAAAGGCTCCAACCCCTGGGACTCTGCTTCCTCCCCCTGGCTCATGGCCTGCTGCTCCCTTGGCCCAGAACTCCCTTCCCAACAGCCACCCACTGTTCGGTTCCCAGTTGCAGTGTGACCTCCACTGGGACTCTCCCTGCACCCCCCACCTGAAGCAGCACCCAACCCTTGGCCATTCTGCCATCCCCATCTGTTACTGTGCTCCCCATGTTCCCTACCACATGATTGAAGGAAGGACACGGTTCCCCATCCTGTACTTCTAGTCCTCAACCCTGCCAGGCACACAAGGGCAGCTCTGGAAATATTTGTTCAGTGGGATGAAAATTCTCCCTTAGAAGCTAGAATTTCCCAGTGAAAAACTCATGTGATTTTCCTGGACTCTCAACCCCAGGTACAAACATGGAAACCAAGGTGTGGCACCCAGATGCTAATGAGCAGCAGGAAAGATGGAGGTAGACCCTGGACTCCCTACTCAGCTTGAACTCCTCCACTTCTGCCTCCACACTACCTGAGGGGTCCTCCCATTACCAAGAAATCAAATACTGGGAACTTGCAAGAAAGCAAGCTCACAAGCCGCGGGGGGTGGGGGTGGGGCTAGGCTTGGGATGGGGGGTGAGGGGCGGGGCCGAGGCTCCAGCCAGCCCTTCTCACCTACACACTCCCCATCCTTGAGGACGTAGCCTGGGTCACAAGTGAGGGCCTTGTAGCAGCGGAAGGAGCCCAGAGTGTTCACACAGTGCTCGCCCCGGCTGCACGTGTGCAGGTCTGTCACGCACTCGTTGATGTCTGCAAAGAAAGGGAGGCTGGCTATTAGGGCCTGCAGGATGCTCTGGAGATAGACAGCTGCCAGGAGCAACCAGAGGTCCTCAAGCCTTCAGGAGGGACGGAGCACAGGCCCTGCCCTTGAGGTACTCACCGTGAGGAGCCAAATGCGCAGCTGAAGACCCCTATCCATGCACCCCTTCATTCAACAAAGATTTAGGAAGCACCAGCGAAATGCCAAGCACCCATCTTGGCAAGAGGGATACACACCAGTGAACAAGACGTACATAAATCCCCGCGCTCAGGCCAGATATGCAGATACAAAGCACAGGATTGAGAGGCCGTCACGAGTGCTGTGCTGACCAGTGCAGGCGAGGCTGTGGGAAAGCTGGGTCAGCAGGAGTGTGGAGTTCACCTGTGGGGAGGGTTCTCAGGGACAGCTCTGTGAGGGCCTCTGGCAGGTAGCTGGTGGCTGGAGCCCCTCTGGCAGAGGGGCTCTGGCAAGAGCATGGTGGCACACGCCAGTAATCCCAGCACTGAGAGAGGCCGAGACAGGAGTATCACAAGTTTAGTGTCCTGCCTGGGCAATTTAGTGAGCTCATGCCTCAAAATAAAAAATAAAAGGGCTGGCAAAGTAGCTAGGTGGTTGAGTGCTCCTAGACAAAGACAATAATCTGGGTGGATAATGAGGTGGGGGAAGCTGTCTAGTTCCAGAAGTATGGAGAAGGCAGAACCCTGAGATCCACCATGGGTAGTGGGGAAGGGGGAGACCAGAGCCAAGCGGTATTTCAGTACCTCTTCCCCAGGCTCACCTGGGCCAGGCAGTGCTGTTCCATCAGGCTAAAGTCACAGGCAGCAGCCAGAATGAAAGCCAGAGTGCCCAGCCCCCAGCTACACCTGTCTCGTAGTTCACTTCCTGTACAAGGTAAGTGGTTTCCTCCCATCTTCCTGCAGCCCCGCCCACCTGGAACACTTTTCCCAGGGGCCAAGATGTCCTCAAACTGCAGCACACACACAAAAAGGCAAATGATAAAAGTACAGGGGAGTACCTGGCAGAAGTCATACCCAATACTGTCCCTCTTTGGCTTGCAAACCTCCAGCTATGAGGAGCTCACTACCTCTGGAGATTGCCTCAGTGTGATGTATTTGTAGAATAATACTAGCACAACAAAACACTAGCCAAGTTCCTTGTGTGGACTAGCTCATTTCATCTCTACACAATTTCATTCACAGATTTAGAAACCAAGAAGTTAAAAGAACTGATTTAAGTGCTTTTAACATTTTTTTTAACAAATCTTTTGGAGTGCACAGAGCTATGTCCCCATCCCCTTTATTTTGTTTTCCTTTGTTGTTGTTTTTAGATTTAGCTAACTTGATGAGTTGCCCAGGCTGGGTTCAAATTTGCAGGCCTCCTGCCTCAGCTTCCCCAAGTGCTAAGATTATAGGGGTGCATCACTGTACTGAACTTGTTCAACATCTTCTAAGCAGAAAGTGGCAGAGGTGGGATTTGAACTCAGGCAGTCCAGCTTTAAGGCCACTTTCCTGTCACTTATCAGGTTAATGAGCTGGGAGCCCCAGGAGACGTCTGCAGATGTACACAGGGCTGGAAAGGGAGCAGGGACACTAACACGGACACTTGAGTACAAAAGAGTATGTGTGCATTTGTGCAGGATGAGAAAGAATGAGCATGAACACAGGTGCTGTGCCAACTGCAGTGTCCCCAGCACCCATTCAAGCTGTCAGGGACCCACCCTCTCTGCCTCGAAGCTTTGTGTCTGGGCCACTAGGCAGCCTGCTTATGGAGCACAAGAGGGGTGCACAAACCCTCAACATGGCCACCTTCCCAGAGAGATACACAGACCACCCCCCCAGCTAGGAAGAGATGCCACTAACTGGCAGGCAGGTCAGGGGACACATTCTGTGCCCAAGGCAGAACGCCCAGGCAAGTATATCTGCCAGACCTCAGCCAGTATCTTGGGCCACCTGCCCACAGCACAGCGCTGGACAGTCCCCAAACACAGGCTCTGGTCCCTGCCTCTCGCTTTTGCACTTCCTCATCACCCTTAGAGACACAAATTCCACCTCTCTAGAAAGGGCATGCAGATGCCACCAGTGGAAAGATGCCTCCCTCTACCTCTTCCTGCACACTGTGATCTTGGGTTTATCTGAGAAGAGGGGAGGAGACAAGCATTCATGTCCCCTTTGTGAAAACATCAGGTGGCCAAGAACCAAGAGGGCACCAGGGCTTCCTCATTGCCCACAGAGAGGCCCTGGAGACCCCAAAGCACAGGGCACAGGGGGAAGAGTTGGGACCCCGTGCTGACCCAGCCCAGGCACAGGCGGGTGTGCCCTGTCCCCATCCTCTGATCCTTGTGGAAGCTCAGAGAGGAGTTTGAGATCACTCAGTAAACAATACCAAACTGGGGGACAAAGCCAGGAGTGTCAGCCACAATCCCATCCATTTATCCTTGGAGAGGTTCTAGCTGTACCTAAGGACACTGTGACCGCTGGGGACCATGCTGTCTGCAGGCTGTGTGCTGTCCTGCACCCATGACTTTCAGCCATCAGAGGGGACAAGAAGCCACCTCTTCGCAGATGGGGACACTGTGACTGGGAGAAGACAAGTCACCAGTCTGAGACCACCAAGCCACCTGCCTGCAGACCCCATGCACCCTATCCCACTGCCCTGTCAGTGACCAGCTGGGGACACATCCCCTGAGTGCTTTTGGACACACAGGCACGTCCCTGGGAAAAGCAGCCTCCCAGAGGACAAGCGGGACAAGACACCAGGACACGGGGGTGTGACACGGAGCACGGGGCCAGCTGTGTGAGGACTCACATGCAAAGGACAGGCCTTTAGCATGTGACCTTTGTGGCAGGCTGGGCGTGGCGCAGAGCGAGATGGGGTGGGCACAGGTGGGGTCCTCGCTTACCCACGCACTTCCTGTGCGCGTTGAGGATATAGCCCTCGGCGCAGAGCACTGTGTGGTTGACACAGGAGAAGGATCCCAAGGTGTTCACACAGAACTGGCGCCGGCTACAATCGTGAGTGCCCAGCAGGCACTCGTCTTGGTCTAGTGGCAGCCACGGAAGGAAAAACAGAGGGGCCATTAGAGGGGCAGGGCCTGTCCTGTGGCAGCCAGTGACAGAGGGCCAGCCAAGACCCAAAAAAGTGCAGGGAACACCCAAGCCTGAGTTTGTAGAACCCAACGATGTCAATGCTGAGCCCTAGTAATGACAGATGGAGGTGAGACTCAGAGAGGGCAGGCAGGTGGCCTAGGGTCACACGGCACCACAGAACCAGGTCTGCCTCCTTCCCATACTGTGTACCAATCCCTTGGCCACAGGCAGCAAGGAACCCATAGCACAAGACTGGACACTCAAGGCTTCAGGGGAGGGCATGAATGAACAGTGGAGGTGCTGTGCTGTGCTGCAGGGCTGGGGCCCATACACAACGGGACAGGGCAAGAGAAGCCCACAAGCTGGAAATGCTGTAAAAATGCTTGAACTGGCCACGGCTGAGGAGTCCCTGGATTATTTTAGACACTATGGAGAAGAGCTGGACTCCCCTGCTAAGCAGGCTGCACGCACTTTCAGATAGCCCACTGCAGCCTCTGCCATGCACACAGTTCCTCCTGCCAGGGCCCTGGAAGGAGGCAGGATGGAGAGATGGGCACGCTGGCCAGGTCACAAGGCCGGTGACTCCAGAGTGATGTGTCCTCAGGGCCCTGGGACATGGCAGGGGATACAGCACAGGGAACCGAGCAGCACAGAGATGTGAGAGCAGCCTGGCTGCAATGGCCACTGTGCTGTGCGCCCTGAGCAAGTCTGCTGCCCTGTCTGGGCTCACAGCATGTTTTTGGCCTAGGACCAGCCTCTTCACCTAGACCCTCAGCATGCTCGGCCCCACCTCCTGTCTGTCACAAGGTGGCAGAGGCTGGGGACTGTGCAGGCTGTCCCTGAGATGTCACTCAACACAAGCCACCACTGTGCAGGAGACAGGGCTGGACTCGCAGAGGACCTCGGGACACCACACCACCTTGGTGGGGCCCAGGTGAAAGGGATGTGGGCCTCTTTGTGAATGGCAGTGGCAGCTCACTGTCACCAAGATCCGTCCTGCCTCTGTCATCTTGGTACCACAGACTGGCTAGGGCCTCCTTACCAGCCCCTCACAGCAGGCCAACACAAGACAAAGGCCATTGCTAGGTGTCACTTCCGTGCTTCCCTTTCTCCATCCAGGACAGGAACACGGACAGACAGGGTGCTGCTCACAGACCAACTCCCACCATGGACATGGATGACACAAGAACACAGCAAGTGGAAGTGTGGCCCAGGACTTATCAGAAACACAAATTCTCCATCCTGCTGGACCCTCTGAGCGAGGATCTGTTCCCTCAAGTCCGTAGGGGAAGGGTGAAGGTCAGTGATGAGGTGCACAGCCGTATCTGAGCAGCACTGTTCTCAAGAGCAGAGCAAGTCGATGGGAAGATCCCAGGCCCAGCATGCAGGTGGCATGGGGCCATCCTGGAGGGGCTCTGCCATGCAGCCAAACCTGTCACTCGGAGACCCCACCACAGGTAGCAGGGTAGCCCAAGGCACTCACCTTCACATGACACACCGTCCGCCATGATGGCATAGCCGGGGAAACAGGAGCACACGGCCGAGCCCCTGATGACACTGCATACCTGCCTGCAGGGTCCATTGTCTAGGGGAGATGACACAAGGGTCAGACATGGCTCCCATCACCCTGGCTCTGATCTTGAGGCAGAGGAGAAGGGAGGCGGACAAACGGGGATGCAAGAACCCCTGTCCTGGGTCACCAGCTACATGGACTCCTGGGTGACCCCTCCGCAGCATTCAGGTCCCATTCATTCCTCTAGTGACATGAAGGAAGAGACAGAAAGCAGGGAGACACAGGGGAAGAAGGGGAGGGAGGAAAGATGGATGGACGCTTGGATGGATAAATGGACTGACAGACAGGATGAATGGGTGGATGCAGCTCAGCAGGCAGGATGAGGCCCTGGTTCAGTACCCAGCATGGCAAAAAAGAAGGAACAGGGATGGGACAAAAAGAGAACAATGAGGAAAGCATGACTGCGTCTGGTCTCTATTTCCGCTCACCAAACAATGCACTAGCTCAATTTTACAGGAAGATGCAGAAAGCAGCCAATTGGCTTTCTAGGGGGCCACACGCCCAGGCCCCAGGCTTTCCTCATCTCTCCCCAACAGCAATGTTCTCTGCTCCTCACCCAGTGCACACAGACAACCACTGAACCACAAGCAGAAGCATCCCTTTGCCAGAGCTATTTGCCAGCACCTAGCAATCCAGGTGCATCCAGTGACCTGGGGGCCCCATGTGGGGACACTGTCCCCACTGCTCACCTTTGCAGGTGTTGGGCTGTGGCAGAGGCAGCGGGATGGTGTTGGGGGCTGCCTGGGCTGGCTCAGGTCCCGTTGCAGACTCCCGTGGAGCCTCTGGCTGCGACGCAATCCTGGCTGCCAGGGCAAAGTACAGAGCAGAGGTGGAGTTTGGGTCTTCGCCAGATCTCAGGTACTCATGGGCACCAGTCCTTCTCATACCCAGGTACCATCCTGGGCACTTGCTGCTGGCTTCACTGAAGCCCCTCCCACACCTCAGAGGGGAAACTGGGCTCAGGGGGCAGATGCTCATCAGGTAACAGCCATCTCACAGCTACCTGAGGCATAGATTGGTGAAGGGGAGGTAGGCAGAAAGGAGAGAGGAAGAGGAGGAAGAGTGCCCAGGCTAAAAAGGAATCCAGCCCCTTGTGCCAGGGCTGGACACCACAGCACCACAGAGCCACAGAGGGTCTGGGCAGACCCTCTCACTGTGGGATTCCAGATGGAATCTCTCTGCCCAGCCTCAAGAGGCTCCATGGCTGCCTTCCACCAGTGCCAACATCAGCAGTGGCAGGTGGTGAGGCACCACACCATCGCTGACTCAGAAGGCCCCGACCCTGCCCATTCCTCACCTGGGCGGCAGGTGTGGCCGTCATCCTGCAGCAAGAAGCCGGGAAAGCAGGCACAGCGGTAGGAGCCCACAGTGTTGATGCACAGGTGCTGGCACAGCTCACCCGGCAGCAGCAGGCACTCATCCTGATCATCGCCTGGCAGGTTGTTGGGCAGCTCAGCCTCTGTGCCTAATGACAGAGCCTCCCGGTTCCCCATCTCTGGCTCTGAAACTAGGATGGGAAGCAGAATTCAGGACAGAGCCAGCTTGGCCTGAGCAGGTGGCTGGCACACAAGCCCCACACACCAATGCAGGTCCAGCAGATAGTGAGGACAGACGCAAGATAGATGGATGGAAGGCTGCAGGGAGGAAGAAAGGGATGAATAGATGGATGGTGGGCAGTTGGATGGATGGTTGGATGGACAGATTGATGGATAGATGAGTAGACAGATGGATAAATGGATGCATGCTTTCATGGATAGATGCATGGATGATGGATGGACAGACTGATGGATGGACAGATGAGCAGAAGGATGAATGAATACAGGGATGTATGTGTGCGTAGATGACCAGATGGATGAATGGGCCACAGACAGACAGACTGATGAATGGACAGATGGGCGGATGGATAGATGGATAAGTGGATGGATGGGCAAATGAATTAATAGTCTTGCAGTACTAAAAATGAACCCATGAGAGCTGGGTCCAAGTCTTCATTACCTGAGTCCCTTGCAAGAGGACCAAGCCAGGTTCCCAAGGAAGCTCGTGCTAAAGTGCTAAATTAGATTCTGAGCCCCAGCCTCATTGACATCAGGGAGATGTCTCCTAGCCACAAAGGATCCCTACTCACCAAACCTGGGTCCCACTGGGTGGGGATGAGAACCCTGGATATACCGCTCTCGGCAGCACCAGCTCCCAGCACTGTGGAGAGCCCAGGGAGAGAGATAGAGAGGGTGGCTGGGCAGCTTTGGAAGGCTCTGAAACATGGCAGGGAGGGCCAGGGCCAGGACTAGGGGCAAGGCCTGCAGCCCTTCCAAGCTCTGTGCCACTGGAGGTCTCAGTGCTTCCAGCATCCACAGGCAGCCAAGCCCCCTTCCAGAACAGCTGCATGGAGTCGCTAGGGAGGAACGTGGTGCATGTGACAGTGTTTACATTAAGCTCCAGCTTGTCGGGCCTGCAGGGGGCTGAGGCAAATCTGGCCCAGGACCCCCACCACCCCAAGGCCAGGCCATACCCCCACAGCTCAAAGCTCACATTCATCAGCTAGCCTGGCCCCACTGCCAACACCTCTGTGAGCCAGGCTGACCAGCAATTCCTCCAAGGAACATGTTGTCACTGGCCCTGCCACTGTTTTTCACACATCTCACCTGCTCCCTGCCTGCCCACTTGCCTTTTGATCTCTGAGGCTGTTTCTCCTCAACCTTTTTTTTTTTTTTTTTTTTGGTATCAGGAATGAACTCAGGACCTTTCACTTGCCAGGCAGGCACTGTGCTGCTGAGCTATGTCCTCATCCCCTGAAGCTGGATTTCCTCCCAACACCACCTCAAAACAGACTCTTCTAGTCATAAGCTGGTCTTGACATCAGCATTCAAGCAGCCCCCTGGATGGGTGGGTGGACAGATGGGCAGGAGGAAACATGTATGGGTGAGTGGCTGAGGATGATGGATGGATGACAGGATAAATGAAGGAGTAAAAGGATGAATGGAGGACAGGTAAAAGAATGGATAAAATAGATGGAAGGATGAGTAGATGAACATGCAGGCAGATAGGTGAATGGGTGGTGGATGATTGGTAGATGGGTAAATGGAAGGGTTAATGAAGGGGTGAATGGAAGGTCAATCAGTGGATGGGTGAATGCGTGAAGATATGGATGGGTGAGTGCATGGGTGTATGGTAAGTTGGTGCATAAGTAGTGGAGGGGTGAAGAGTGAGTGCGTGAATGGGGTAGACAGGTGAATGGATGGGTGAACGGATGTGTGAGTGAGTAGTTGGTTGGGCGGGTAGTAGGATGGCTGTGTGGATGGGTGGGTGGCTGAGTGGATGGGTGGGAGGGTGGATGGGTAGGTAGATGAGTAAGTGCATGGCGAGGAGGAATAACAATGCATAAATGGACAGGGACAGGAGGGTGGGGAGTGAACAAGTAGAGGGATAATGATGGTGGCTGGTGGTCAGTGGATGGAGTGGGTAACACATAGAGAACCAGAAGAGACCCACATCTCCAAATCAACAGGGCAGAGTCCAGTCCAAGGTCACAGAACTCTGTCTAGAGCAGAGCTCAAACCTAAAGCCATCCCATAAAGCAGCAGAATCCAGCCTGGGCTTGGAACCCCAAAATTCACAGCTCCCCTCATCCCCAAAATGCCCCCAGCCTCCAGCCCAGGAAAGATAACACCCACCTCTGCGCGGCGCAGCTTCAGGCTCTGGAGGCCGGCGGATCTCGGGCACGATAAGGGGGTCCTCACCCTCACAGCAGGAAAGCATGACGTGGTTGCAGGGGTAGCCCAGATTGGGGTTGGACTCACAGGACTGGCCCTCGGCCCGCACACGGAGCCCCAGGCCACAGCAGTCACAGCACGGCTGGAGGGAGATTCCGCAGGTTGGATTCAGAGCAGAGTGCATAGCAGTTGGTTTTATTTTGTTTTGTTCAGCACCAAGGGTTGGACCTAGGGCCTTCACACTGAGCTCCTGAGCCCTTTTTATCTTTTACTTTGAAAAAGGATTTTGCTAATTTGCTAAACTGCCCAGGTTGAGCTTAAATTTGCAATCTTCCTGCCTCAGCCTCTCAGAGTGCTAGGATTACAAGGACTGAATACCACGCTTAGCTCTCAGGAGAGCTTTTAACTGGAACTCATTCTTCTTGGAAGTATATCTATTTTGCTCTCCCCCTTCCTCCTTTTTGGAGCACAGATGTGATAGCTGGAGCTTTTACAGCCATCTGGGCCATGAAGAATCCCTGAAAATGGAGGCTCCACACCACTAAGGAAGATTAAAAAGAAAACTAGAAATGTGGGTCCTTAGATCTACCCCACCTCACACTTCCAAAAAGAAATGAGGTTTAATTTCTTTCAGCAATGGTGGCAGATTGGCTGCTGTCAGAGGCCCAGCTCTTCCCTCCTCCTCGTGTACACGTCTTCTCAGTATGGTATTTCAGCCCACACAGAGAGGCAGAGTGACAGTATGGCAGCTTACACACAGTTGGATCTGGGTGTGCAAGTCCAGTGTCATGACAGCTTGAGTTACTGCAGGGCAGCAAACTTTTGAAAGGTGAGGTCTGGTGGAAAGTTATAGGTCATTTATGACAGATGTTCTGTCCCAGTGCCAGAAAGCTGACCAACATGCATGCTTTCATCCCCTTTCTTAGAATTCAGCTTGGCTACTAGCTGACCAGGCCCAAGGTAATCTGCAGGGTTAGTTAGACAGATGGCTCATGACTCATGGTGCCATATAAGCTAGACCACAGAGATCATCTGAGAAGGGTCCCGGTCAGCTGACCAGACTGATGTGCTGCGCTTGTCATAAACTGGGGGGAAAGGGGCATACTGAGGGCGCTTTGTTATGCAGCAATAGCTAGCTTACACTCCAGGCTGAGATCTCCCAGCCTGGAACCTCCCACCTACTGAAACCATACCATGGACATGGCACCTCTTCCTGGCATTGTCCCTCGTCCTCCCCACACCCCAAAAGTCAAGGATTTCTAGCTCCATTCTCTAGACAGAGGAGCTAATGCTGAGAGCTGGGATCAGACTAGTAATTAACATAAAGAAAAAAAATGGGACTCCACTTTGCTTGTCCACAAAATGGACTGTTGGGAGCCACAGCACCACTAGGTCACCCTGAGTGACGGTCGCGAGGCCCGTAGGAAAGAGCAAAGCCTGAGATTACCCCTCCCATCGAGCACGCCGAGATGGCGCCTATTTCCTGCTTCCTGATCTGTATCTCTGCATTAAGCGCCTGCTCAGCAGAATAGTCTACCTAGTCACCAGTGACGCTAGCCAATCAGCTCGCCCGAACTGCTTCGATATGATTGGAGGTTGTATCGGTATATAAGCCAGCGCCTCCACCCTGCGGAAGAGAAGCACGGAAGGAGCCGCGGGGAGCGGACCAACAGAGGCTTCGGCCGGGAGGATTCCCGGGGCAGACTGTGAAAGGGAGAGAAAATAAAAGCGCCTTGCCACTGCCAGATCCTGTCGTGTGTTCTTCCTGCCGGCCGGGAGCGACACCGACAATGGACAACGTCTCCTAACATCAGGAAATGTGGACCCCAAATGACAAAACCCAAAGTCAAAATCCTCTTCCCAGTGCTGTCCTTTCCAGAGACCTGTCACCATTATCCAGTTTTGGGACCCATGGGCTTCTCTGACTCCTTCCCCTCTTCCCCAGTCATAGCCAGGCCCCTTCTTAGAGGTCTTCTGAAACTCCCCAGCCTGTCTGTGCTAACCTCTGCTGCAAAGACAGCTCACTGTCACCGCTTACTCTATTGTCCTCCTTCTTGGTTTTCAGTGGACACCTGACCTCCCCAGAATAGACTACATTTCCCAGCCTCCCTTGCAGATGGATGGCCACATAACCAAGTTCGAGCCAATGAAATCTAAGCTCAAGCACTTTCTGCTCTTAATGAAAACAATTTTTTTTTTTTTTTTTTGGTACGCGACCACACACTTGCAAGGCAGGCGCTTATGCCGCTGAGCTAGATCCCCAGCCCCAACTTTCTGCTCTTAAAAATGGGCTCTTCTATCTGGGTGCCATGGCCCTTGCCTGCAAACCCAGGACTCTGGAAGAATCACAAGTCTGAGACCAGTCTGGGAAATTTATCAAGACCATATCTCAAAATTTCAAAAAGGACTGGGGATTTAGTGTAGTATAAAAGTCCTGGGTTCAATTCCTAAACACCTGAAAACAGGAAAGGAATTCTGACATACGTGATAACACAAATGAATCTGGAGGACATTATACTAAGTGCAATAACCAGTCACAAAAGGACAACAGTGGGTGACTCCACTTCTTGAGGTCCCCAGAACGGCCTAATTCATTAAGAGGGATGAGGGGAGGGCTGTCAGGGTCTGGGGAGGAGTGGGAGTTTTGTGAACAGGGACGGAGTTTCAGTCTGAGAAAATGGACAAATGGACAAGGACAAGGTCTAGACAAGGACGGTGTGACAGTTGCACAATGGTGTGCATGTGCTTACTGGCCCTGAATGACACACTTCAAGATGCTGGGATCAACTTTGTGTCATATGCATTTGACCACAACAAAAAGCAACTGAGGAGAACACAGTCTCTTCCCAGCCCTCTCCTTCCTCTGCCTGGAGGCTGCACAGCCATCCTGGACCATTAAGCAGAACACAGGCGGCAGAAGCTTGTCCCTGTCCCTGTCCACCTCCAGGCCCTATGTGAGAGAGGAAACCAGGCTTCTGTGGAGCTCCCAGACCAAACTGATGCCTCAAGGCGAGTGTGAGCTCCAGCACAAGCCACTTCCATCCACAAAGTTCCCTGCTGGGCCCAGAGACCTCAGTGTGGCAGCATCCCCAAAGCCTGTCTCCTCACACGCCTGGTGGCACAATCCACTGCCTACCACTGTCAGTTCATGCTGTTTCCTCTGCCCCATCCTGACTCCCCTGTTCATGTGGGAAGCAGTCCCTTAAAGACAGGTCCCCACCCTGCCAAGGAAGACCCAGATGACAGCCTCCAAACTCCCTCTGGCACTCATCTCTCTACCTCAGGCCAAGCCCAGTCCTGCCAGTGATGGACAAGACCTGCCACATCATGTGCATGACCTCAGCTCCTTCAGCTCCCCACATTGGTCCCAACCCAGCCACACAAGCTCTCTGCCACTCCTGGATCCTGCTAAATGTACTGACTTCTGCAGATGCCGTACAGGCTTTCTGCCTGGCAAGCATCCTGCCTGGCAAGCATCTCGGACATCATTCCTCACTCCACCTCCTCCAGGCTTTTATACAAGGGTCCCCTTTTTGGTGAGCCCATGGGCAGCTGCCACCAGGTGAAATCCAGTTGCACCTATATGGTGTCACTACCTATGCCTCCTCTCTTATCTCTTCTGTTGTAGCACTATCACCTGTGGCACTATCACCTCCTGACAGCACACGTAATGATGTTCCTCCCATGTCCTCCCGACAGGGACACTCACAAACCAAGACCTGTCATCACATATTCACTGCTGCATCCCAGTGCCCAAGATAGTGGCCTCCACATCCTGGGTCAGCAGGCATCCAACAGTGTTTTCTTTACAGGTGCTGAGACCCCGGAGGTGGGAGGCCTGGTGTCCCAGGAGACCCTCCCACTCTGCAGTGAGGTCATGGCCACTTGCCTTGTACAGGGACACACTGCAGGTATCATTGTCCTCGGTGCCACAGGCCTCGCCCTCCTTGGCTCCCCGCACACCGGCCACGCAGCTCTTCTCCTTCAGGTAGGAAATGCAGCAGTGCCTCTGGGCCGTCCTGCAAAGATGGGAATCAGCCCAGTTGCCCCATCCCGCTGTGGGCCCTCTGCCATGATGATGGTCCCCACATCACAGAGGACAGGCAGAGTGGGCTGTCCAGGACACCAGCATGGTAGGCCAGTGTGGCTGGCAGAGCAGATGCCAGCTCAGTATGTCATGGGGGTTTGTTTCTTGGCTTAAACAAGGAGACGCAGGCCTAAGTCTCCTAGGACTCAGAGCTGTGGGTCCTTGATTGCTGAGGGGAGGCAGAGCCATTCTCTGCCCACTGCCAGGACAGACTGGCATAGGGAAAGCCAGCCCCAGAAAGGCCTTCGGGCAGGGACAGAGGCAGCTGATAAGCCAGGGCTGCAGGATCACAGGGCACAGAGCTCAGCAATGTATGAAGTGGGCATATCCTAGGGATGGTTATTCAGTGACCAGTTATTCAGTTATGAGTTCCCTGTCACACGTGGGATATAAGTGTACACTAGGGCCACAAAGCCCAAACTCCAGGGGTCCAAATGATGTATGCTCTTACGCCCCTCAGTACCCCTGAATCAGTGGAAAGGGGAAAGGAATAGGAAAGTGAGTTAGAATTCCAATTAAATTTCCCTGAAGAGGGCCACACAGGCTGGGCACTAGAAAGCATGGAGTCTGTTTCTGACAGTGCCCCTGACCATGCAGCTTGGGGGGGAATCACAGGGCCTCTTGGAACTCAATCTACCTCCTTATCTGGGGAAATGGGCAGGCTGGAAAAGATGGCGCTGCTGGAGAAAGGAGGGGTGAGGGGCTCCCCCAAATCTCACCTGCACACATCACCCTCCGCACCACTCTCAGGCATCTCTGTGCACTCGTCGTTGTCGATGGCCCACTGCTGCCCAGCCGCGCAGCAAGACTCGATCAGGTCCTTGGTGGAGCCTGTGAGACAGCAGAGGCAGAGGAGGCCACAACCTGGGACTCCAGGGCGGAAGTCAAATCCTGACCCTCAGTGGCAGCCGGGCACCGCCCCACTGCCCTGCACCTACTGGGAGCAGCGCAGCCACCACACACTCAAGGGCTCAGCCTTGAGGAACAACCAGAGCTCCCAGAGACCAGGGCCAAGGCCCTCCAGCTTCCACCCCCGACTCCTGAGACCTTGCCTTTGCTTCTGAAGAACCTAATCTGAGTCACCGAGGCAGGGCAGCAGTAGCCAGGCAGGCTGAAGCACACCTATAATGTCAGCTACTCAAGAGGCTGAGGAAGAGGATTACGAATTTGAGGCCAAAATGGACAGCTTCCTGAGATCTCATCTCAAAATGAAAAACAAAAAAGGGCTGGGGATGTAGCCAGTGTGATAGCCCTGAGTTCACTCCCCAGTAAAAATGAATGAACGAAAGAGGGAGGGAAGGAGAGAGGGACACAGAGAGAAAGGGGGGGACAGGACAGGAAGAGGAAGACAGAGAAAAGAAGGTGCATTATCAGCAACAGACACGCCCAACTCAACAATGGAAAAGAAGACAATGGGAGGGATCAGATGGGAGAGAATGTCTTAAAATTCAGATTGCTGGTGGCAGAGCCCTGGCTAGCATGTGCAAGGCCTAGATGACCCAAGGAAATAACTACTTAAAAAGTATTAAAATTAATGCTAATGAACATAACAGCCAAAAATAAAACCAGCATACTCAAATTAGTAGCTTTCTTGTGTCTCAGAAACAATCATATAGGAAAATTCTATTTGCAAAATACACAAACTTAGAAATAAATCAACAATAAAGACCTCTGACTTACGTGAAGAAAAAATATTTGATTGTCTAATGGGTGTAACAGTAGGCTTTGTTCTAGATACATACCATGTGGCTGCATAAGAAACTCAATACCCAAAAGATGTCAGTTCTCCAAGACCACGCTTCAAAGCAGTTCTAATCACAGGCCCAACAGCATGTCTTACAAAACTTGTGGAGATGATTCTGACATCCACACAAAAAGTGAAGAAATGCTTAAGGTTACCCAAGAAAACTTTAAGACAGAAAGACAGACAGACAGAAAGAAAGAAAAACAGACAGGAAGGAAGGGAAGGAGGGCAGATTTTTCTCTACTAGCATAAAAAATACACTTTGAAACTCTAAGCATTAAAAAAAAAAAAAAAAGGAAGGAGATGGAGGGCCGTGGATCAGATTCAGAGACAGAACTAGATGACAGGATTTCTGAATTACAATGAGGGTGCACCCTGAGCACAGCAGGGCCAGTGTGATGGCGTGGAGATTAACTGTGCCCCAGACACCCATATGTCCAAGCCAGTGGCATCTTGGGAGACTTTTGGACCTCGAAATGGTGGGGCCTGGTGGCAGGAAGTGAGGTCACTGGGGGCGTGGCCCTGAAGGGGCTCTGGGGTCCACTTTGGGTGTTTGTTGAGTGAACTACTGAGACCTTGGAGTTAAGGGGTCAGGAGCCAGGACCAATGCTGTCTATCTGACACCCTCAACCTGGCACGCAGGGCTTGGATGCCAGGCGCATCTCTGCTTCCATCTGCTGCTGCCAGACTCCGGACTTGAGTCCCTGTGGCTGCTGAGAGCCATGCCACGGATCAGACTGACTCTCTGCTTGTCACACTCTGCATGAATACTTCTGGCGATGGGGCTAAGCACCAACACAGCCTATTTCTATTCTCAGAGCTCCTACTCAGTGCTCTCTCATTCACAGACCTCAGTCCTCCTTCAGGACCTCCTTAAAGAGATCAGGGTGGCAACAGGGCCTGGAATCCCGGCCAGATGACACACAGTAGATGTCCACGCCAGGCAACAATGACTACTGAAGATGGACTGGGCGCTCAACTATGAGTCAGGCCCAGGTCCAAGGTTACTAGTGAGTCTGTCATGTCTCTGGTTTTATACAGGAAGTGGGGAATTACAAGTCCCAAGGCTCAGTGTTCCACTTCCCTTCTGTTCCAGGCCTCAGCACCCCCACACCTGTGATATGGGTACCCTGATGCAGCCATTCCTGAAGATTCCCTGGATACATCTCACCATCAGCAGCCTGAGAGATGGTGCTGCTGTTGAGTATGCTAAATGGGGACCTCTTCCTGCCCCACCCCTGCTCAGCGGCAGGGTTTCATTCCTGCTTGGCAGACTTCCTGCCATTCTCTCCTGGTCTTTCCCACCCTGGCCTCCCTCATGTTGGGCTAAGACTTCTCAGCCAGGAAGGCCACCCATGAGCAGCAAGACTGGGGACTCGTTCTGATGCCATCTGTGGAGTTGCCCGCTACCATCCAAGACATGGGAGGCAGGGCCCCCAAAGCCCGACCGACCCCATGAGGACTCCCAAGGCCCCAGTTTTCTAGGACTGCACCAGGATGGCTGCTGGGCTCCCAGGTTCTCCTGCTCAGGACCCACAGGTCCCTCCAAGGCCACTTCCAAAGCACATCCCAGGCCACACTCTCCCCTGCTTGGTTCCCGTCCCCTGGCCCTTTGCTCCCACTCCTGTCCTCCAGTCACCTCCGGTACAGCACAGGAATGATCCTACAGGTCCCCATTTGCTGACAAGCCCCATGTGTGTGACCCCACAGACATCCCACCTTGTTTCCTTCCTCCAGCCGTTCTCTCACTCTCACCATTCACTCCCTGAAAGCTTTATTTCTGTTCCTGCCCCTGGGACCTTTGCATGCCACACAGTGGAGAATCCTCCACTCCCTGTACTCTGTACTCTGCCTCATCTGCCACTGTCTCCCTGGCAGTTCGTATTTTGGGAGGGTCTTGTTTCCTCAGAGCAAGATTCTTCAACCTGTGTCTCTGAACTGACATCCACCCAACCTCGCCACACCACACCACTGAGCCTCCTCCATCATGGCCTGGCCTTGAACACCCTCTGTCACCTAGGGGCTCCGCAGATCCACTCAGAAGCCAGCAGAGGACAAAGTGTGACAATGAGAGGCCTCACACACCACTGTCACCCCTTTACCCATGGGTTCATGGGACCCAGCTAGCAGCCAAACACCCACCTCCACTACAGAGGGTGAGAGAAGCCTCCCTGGCTTCCTCCCTCTCTTTTCCCTCCACGACATCCCTACTGGGGGACACACTTGTCCCAGCCACCAGCCCAGCAGAGTCTCAGGTGCCAAGAGTGAGCCCCAGCACCTCTGGGTCCTGGAGGATAGCACAGGGCAGCACAGACGGGGAGTGTCAGGAAGTCCAGGTGGCACAGAGTACACAGTGCCTCTTGCTGCCAGCTCACCATATCCACGGTCTGTGTGACAGGCCCCCTCCCATGAGTGAGAAGGGGAAAGCAAGGCCCAGCCTCTGGAAGTGACCACAAGTCCCAGATCTTCACCTGCCCTCCCCCTTGCCTGCCTGTAGGTGGCAGTTTCTACCCATGTGTGTCACTGTCACCTCTAAGCACAGGAGCCCAGAGGGACCCACTCACTGTTGCAGGTTTTGGGAAGTCATCTGTCACCTGAGCCTCTGCTTTCTCACCTGTGAAATGGCCAAATAACCTCTGAAGGATTCACAGCCTGGCAAACAAGAGGGGCTTGGTAAGCGTGAACACAGGAGTGAATTCATCGACAAAGCACGACAGGACTATCGTCCCTTGAGCAGCAGAAGCCTAAGGACCTCTGCTTTGCCTTTCAGCCTCCCCTAGGTCACCTGGACCTCCTCCAGTGGGAGAGCACAAGGCTGGACTCTAAGGACAACTCACTGTCCCCTTCCTGAAGCACAGAGGGAGACTCGATCCCCACGGGCAGCGATGTCATCTGCAGGTGCAGGAGGATCATGCCCCAGGTCTCCAGGCCGACATGACAGCCCTGCCTTGGAAAGCAGCCAAGTCCCTGCCAGCAGGGGACGGGGACCAGCAACCAGGCCCACACAGATGACACATCCAAGTCACACAGGCACACGCTGGAGGAAGCAGCGAGTCCCAGGGACACAGGGTACTTTCACGTGAAGTTGGAAAACAAGAGATTAGCTTCTCTAGGTGACAACATGCCTAGAAAACTAACTGAACACTAAAAACCAAAACTGTCAGAGAATAAGAACCCAGTTCAGGAAACCAGCCAGACATACAGGCACCAACACTGCAGGACTCTCCTCACAGAAGGTTCCTGCAGAAGCCGTATCGAAGGCCCAGAAATGTGGGTGCCAGGGGCTGGGGAGGGAGGGGCTCATGCTGGATGGGCACAGCTTCAGTTTGTGGAGCTGGCTAGTGGTGATGGCTTCACAACCCTGGGAAGGTGCTCAATGCCACAGAGCTGCACGCCCAGTTCATTATAAATATCATGCTGTGAAATTTTTAAAATGCACTGAAGCACAGTAAGAAACCTGTGGCCCAGCGCTTCACCCTCTGGAACCCCACCCTGCTGAGAGATGACACCTGGCACACACAGGAGGCCCCACGCTTGCTGGCTCTCTGCTGGCAGAGGTTCCAGAGACAGTCTCCACGCCAGAAAGCAGTAACCGAGGGTGAGCCATCCAGTCTCATGCAGGTATTGCAAAGAGTTAGATGCTCTTAAATTAACTGAGTCCACCTCAGAGTACCCATAACTGAGCGTCTGTTTCTCCCTCAGGAGGAATGTGTGGCCAGCATAGAGCATTCTGAGAAGGAGACCCAGGACCCTGTCACAGCCATTGTCCTGCAAAGGGGCCCAGTGCTGGCCACAGAGGAAGGAACTGACTTGTCTCTGTTTACCCTCTTGTATTCTGCATTTGTTTCTATCATCTGCAGGTTTCACCCATTCAAGAGCCCTGGCCTATAAAACTGTTCCCTTATAAAAAAAGGTTCCGGAATTGCAGGGATTCTGTCTCTACCCCTTTGATCCCAGAACAATGGGTCTCCCAAACAATCCTGCCCAGGGTCATGACCCGCCAGCCAGGCCCCTCTGCTTGGTGTCAGAACCCTAAAGAATACCAGCTTAGGGAATGCGGGGGGGGGGGGGACCTTTACTTGGTAGA